GAGCCGAGTTCGTCATCAACCATATGCGACTTTAAGCGGCTGTTCTTGTTAACCTGTGCAGAAAAGTCGATGCACAAAAAATTTATAAAGAACGGCAAGTGGTGGAGGAACTGGACGTGACAAAACTTTAGACGTACTCGAGAACAGCTCATCATTCCTTCGCATGAAGTTTTTCCACCATTACTTGGGTCATGCAAGCAATGTCATAAGTGAAGCGTAGACTTAATCTATGGTCTTTTTAATCTACAAAGCATATTGCAACAACTGTCAACATGTTTAACAAAACTAAAGCTCCGAGGAATTTGGCTTGGTGTACCACCAGGTAGTAATTAACTTCAATGAACTCTAAGCTTCTATAGAATAAGGCAAACAAGTTGAACACGTTTCATTATTTGACATTTCTTTTTTCAGCAGATAGTAAGGCTTAGAGCAAATATTACGGATAGAAGGCGATAAAAAGCCAAATTCTAGACAAACGTAGTATTTCTAGCCACCGCCAATTTGTGAACACCCAAAATCTCCCGGTAACGTAATAGAGCAAGATGACCTTTCTTTACGCCTTGAGGTGAGTGGTTTAGAAGGCACCAATAGAAATGCTTTGTAAACCGAGCACATTCATAGTCTTCTTTTCAGACACTTAACTTAATCAAGAATGAAATCGCTTTTTTTGATTGAAAACCTGGATATTTCAAAGAAAAAGAAAATTCACTGTGGACATTATTTGCATGCAATAAAAATTAAATTTACTTCTTTTGTTTCGATTTTAAAAATAAGAGTGTTGATGGTTTAAAGATGTAGCAGTTGATGTACCATTGTTCAAAATTCTGCACAATGTTTCATTTGCTTAAAAACAACTAATGTGAAAAGTTGGTCGGTAGTACAGTGGTAGTTGTGCCACTCAATATGAGCAAAACGCCGGTTCCGCCGCGTATTGGGGTCAGCTTACCCAGATCCTCAACTCTCTGATGGCAGGAAATTGGTTCCAAACTTGTTCAGTTAACACTTTTAAATCCGAGGAAGGAAAGGAAGAAAGGAAGGCGAAATCCGCCGAAACGACAGCTTAATCGTGAACGAAGAATAATAGCACGTCGCGTTTGCTCAACAAAAATACGGAGAAAGTTACTTTTAAATCCATCTACGAACCTTCTACCACGGTTGTCCTAAACTTACATGACAAACAATTCAAGCAGCATTCAACAACATCGTAAAGAAAGTCACAATCCTCAAGCATCGACAGAACTTGTACAAAAAATTTGGAGGAGCTTCGCTGAGTACGGATACAAAGATACAAATGGAACGCTGGAAGCGCTGAGATCCACACAATAAGTGGATCATGTAAAAAAGTGGGCATTAAAATTCTCAGCATCGTGTGCATTGGCAAACGTAGACATTAAGCTTTACTTATTTTTAAGCAGGAATAACACTGTAGTTAATGTTGGGTCCGGAATCCTGTTTTTCACGTTTAGTTTACTTATACGGACTCAGATGTATTCTTGCAAATCTTTTCCTTCTGCCCAGTGTCTTTATAATTTTTGCATTTTAGTAGATTTCTAGTTTATTTTTAAAATGACGCGCTACTAGCGTTTTGGGAGCAACTCATATTTTACGACGATGGTGCGTTTACCAGGGAGCATACCATACAACCTGGTGCTAATGATATTTATGCGGCTGTATGTGCACTTGTAACACCTCCGCAACTTCTTGCAATGCATTTGCTTTTGTGCGTTTAAGTTCTTTCTTGAAGTCTTTTCCTTGTTTTCTATGCTTATAAGTAGCTCTTTGTTGGAGATTCTCGCGCTCACTAGCTAGCAAAATTCGCTTGAAGTGAAATTGAATGCGACTTCATGAACGAGAAATTGAGTTCGTAGACATCAATACCTGTGAAGAAAACAATCTGCAAGAGTGAAATCCTTGAATAAATGGGGCAAGTGACTACCGTTCTCGATTTCACTTGTGAGAAACGCTGTGGAAAGTGTTAACTTCAAATCAAGACTTGATCGCGACCTTGAATCTGATCTCCGCTTTCTATCTTCACCTGAATTGAATCCAGTTACCATTTGAAGGGCGAAAATCGTCGCTGAATTTACATGCTTCTCAAGACAACCACATTTTGTGGTCGCCCACGTCGAGTCGTCAACCGAGCACCGCATGAGAAACCGCAACGTGACCAGAAGGTCACTTGCCTTGCGCGAAATTCTTCAGTAAGCAGCAAGGAGTGAAAGACATGGAGCGCAATATACAATAATTGAAGTGTTTTACTTTCATGTCGAGTTATGTAGTAGGAATTTGAGATAACGCTTTTTTTAAATGTCAAACGAAGCTTTTCTAGAAAATGATGAAAATTACAATTTTTGCTTCGGTAGTACAAACGATGTTGTTTTCATCAACTAGGGAAAACCATCTAGTTTATACCTTGATTTTTTCTTGAAATTTCTAGCCAATAAATTCTGGTTTTGCTCATATCAAGGGCACTGAATGAGGCACAACTTGTTCAGCGATAGGATTCCGACAGAGATTATAGTACATAGGCCTCACGGAAGCCATGTTCCTGATCATAGAAGTTTATCGAGAATGCCGTCGCTCATTGTCCTCACTTTTGTCGATTATGAAAAAGCGTTTGAGAGTATCGAAGCAAATGCAATCCTATCAGCGCTTGGCGATCAAGAAGAGAACACGTCCAATATAAGAACTCTAGTTGAGTGGACGAATTCACTAAGGAGCCAGCGACCACCTAATAGACCCGAAACTGCACTCGCACATATTCGACTCAGCGGCCCATCGGTCCATTTAGCTCTCTGCTATACAGCAGAGATGACTAATACTTCAACAAGGTTGGCGAATTATGCGCGCTCGCTACAGAACACTTAATCGATAGCCACTGAATTCTATCAAGTTAGCTGAATCTAGCTGGAAAGTTAAAACCTTCAAAACGCATCCTATCTTCGAGATCCAGAGGAATACACGACTACAGGGAATCATAGATGGCCGGTCACAGTAGAACAGACGACAGATAGATGAAGAGCACTGTAGAATGGATGTCACATGGATGCAAACATTTGCTGGGACAACGACCTACTCGTTTGTCGAACGTGTTCATAATTAAAGTCATTCCGTTGTACTCGTAGCTGTAGTTGTTTTATAGGTCACGCCATGAGACTCGCACAAGCCATCGTGCTCGAATCAAACCGACACCATGGACAACCATTACGAAGGAAAACATAAGGATGAAGCTCCCTGCTTAGGTGATTGAATGCATATCTGGCTTTTACAATGACTCGTGGTTGCCTACCGATGTATCGAGCCAGTACTGCTATCCTCCCAGACAAGCCTGGTACCAATTTACCGAGCTTGGAGGGATGGAACACTTGGTGAGCTTGAGTCGCCGGATCGATCCCATTTGTATTGCAGGGCGCTTCTAAACCCTGCGCTGCAGGTGAGGCAAAGAAACAAATGAAAATATGTTCGATTTCACATTATTCGTGAGTACGAGTCGTGCAAGTGTTCAAGTTTATTGCATTCTCAACCAATCCATACAGTTGATCTCGTATGTGAATGTAATTTTCTGTTAAACATGCTCCTAGCTTTCCCTGAAGAATCAGTGAGTTAGTGAGCAAAAATTGCATTACTTGCACGTTTTACTTTTCGACCAGACTTTGCCCAAAAGGAAACAACAGCTCAAACATAGATAGTACACCGTAGCCTTACCCTAACTTTACTACTTCATGCTTCATAGAGGATTAAAAATTTAAAATAGAAATAACCTTATGGTAATGCACGATGTGTTTGTGATAGTTTGCCTGCTCCAGCTAGACGTGCGGGTCTTCGTAGTATCCCGAAAGAGGAGTGTTCATTGCCGAAAATATTCAGCTGATTATATAGTGCGAATCGGCTTCCAGAAACGACGACAAACACGGTTGTCTACGTGGATTGATTGAAAAGAGCATCGTTGTGGGTACGATTGCAGAAACGAGGTACATACGAGTGAAAGCGTATTCGAACCGAAAACATTATGAGTGATGCACGATGTGTTCCCCACGTAATCAGTGATTCTTGAGTGAGTCAATGAAATTAGGCAACGCGCATGTTGTTCGCACTCAAGGATCTTTGAAGATCAAACGGGGAACCCTTTTTACATGTGATATATCACAAATTTTTTGTTATCTTTCGAAACGTTTATTTAAGAAATCACTGGTGCTATACATCAGGTCTGAGCACTGAGCGGTATCCGAAATTTCCATTGGTAAAATAATTTCGTGGAGAGGGTAGCACAGTGATCAGGGATGGAGTACATCACGAATCAAGGTGCTGGTTCGATCTTCTCTTCAATCCTCACAGCCGAATTCACATGTGAACGTCTTAACTCGGTTATCTCCGAAGTTGCATGGTAATTCGACTGGACCAGGATTCTACGACATCCATAAAAAAAATAAAATCTTCGAGCACAACTGAAACAGCACGCGTAGTGTTCGGAGCTTTGTCGACGATGAATGCGAGGAAAACGAATAGAATGGAAGGAGTGATCGGATGCGCAATGCAGATGTGACGACAGGTCACGTAAGATGTAGAAAAGAATCGGTGTATTGCTGCCATCGTGGTAGAAACCTAGTCATCTGGCAACCTCCAGTTTACAAGAGGCAACTAGTATATGACAGAGTTACCTCGAATGTTTCATTGGAAAGTCACGCTCAATACTTTTTCCATTAGTAGATGTAGTTCTGCCACTCAGCTCTACTATTTCTGCCTACTCTCATTTTCCCTGGTGATAAAAAGCTTCAATGGAGTTTTCACCTCTGATTCCACCAATTTAGAAAATTCTTTATTAAGTTCAATGAGTTAAAAAAAGCGATGACTAATTACTGCAGTTGTTGTAGAGTTGAACAGACTAGTGTTTGCTGTAGAGGATCACCAATAAATCACGTGGATCGCCGTGAGAGCATTGGCAAACACCTTTTTAAAGAAGCTTACTAAAACAAAAATGTGAATTAAAACTCGAAAATACATCAGTGCCTGGGTTGAATTGAAATAGGGATGACTTTCGGCTGATGCAGTGGTTGGCGTTCATATCTCACCGTCAAAATGCCATCCTTGCTTAGTTCGCTTTTCACCTCATCGCACTTCACTGAACTTGGAAGTTCGTACTTTCGCAAGAAGTGTCGTTCAACCTAAATTGGTGTTTCTTAAATTTTCATCAATAAGCGTGCGTTTATATAAGTCCTTATAATAATGAAAAGGACGAAAAAAAGCAGGAAACAAGATAGAACAGCGTCAACCAGCGAACTCTCTGCCGACAAATACAAAAGTATCATTGCGTCGTAAAATGGTCTTCATTATCTTCGTGAAATAAGGAAAACTGTTATACTACAGTAGAAAAAGTGTTGTCTGCCTTTTAGTGGTGTTCCTTGCCTGGACGAGTTATATCTTGCTTCTTTTTCTGTGGAATTTCTTTCTCGTTGATTAAGAGTTACTACAAAAACGTGTTGTGAACAACTCTCAGCTTGTGTAAATCATAGGTAAACTGAATTGGAACCTCGGACTTCATATGACAGTGTTAACAGTATCTGTTGAACCTGTTAAAGAATTCCCTAAGTCAGGCAGCTTCCCCATACTACTGAAGAAGCCATCAGAAACATAGTGGAACCAAAAGCGAGGTCTTTGCTTACCTGCCCGAACTTATCCCTTTTTTCATCGTGTTTTCCTTCGATGATCAGTGTGTTGTCAATAATATTAACCTAAACGAATGCTTGACTCTATTTCTGTGCAGGATAACTGTCAATAGCATTTATTTCCAAGAGAACTAGTTCAGAACTAGAGATTTTGGCTGCTCGAACAGTCGATTGAAAGAAAAAAGAAGAACCGAAACTAACTATTTAGCCTTCATAATCTCTAGGAATGACGTCGAAAAAAAATTGACGTCGTCCACAAATTCGAATCATTTCATGAAGAGAAAAAGGGATACGATCCTAATTTAACCACGTATGGAAACTTTATCACAATCCAATCACTTATTTGTATCCATTTTCAGAAGCCTTTCAAAACTGATCATGCAGTTCCCATTTGTCAGCGCTTCCCAATCTTCAAAAATGTCGTTGGTCACATCCGCACTCGGTCATTTTACTATTGCTCAGTAGAACATAGTGTTTGCGTATGTTTCGCACCTTTAGCTCCTCAGGTTCGAACTGCGAAACATCAACCGAAACCGCATATTCCTTTTCGTTATCGATTACCTTGAACGAAAAGTTCGTTAATTTCAATCAAACACCCTTTCATACCGTTGATAATAAGAGAAGAATCACATCAATGCCCTCTCCGATTCGATGACCTGTCAGCATCGTTTGGTCCATCCAGTACGGGCGGTAAAATGAGCGATCAAAGTCGAAGTCGTCGAAGAAGCGACTGTGGAACCCAAACGGAGAAAATGGTGGCCCACGGAAACGGCGATCCATCTGCAGTTTAATAAATTGAACATAACATCACTAAAGCGAAGTCTGAAAGAACGGTTACGCCGAGTAAACTTAAGTTGATATTTTTGAATACTACAATCACTCAGTAAGGACAAAGCCTTCACAAGAGGGTTAGGGATAAAATCCGTAGTCATGCAACTCGATGCTTTAAGAAAATTGTGAATGCTGGCAGATCAATCATATTATCGATTGAACAGAATTTACTAAATACAGGTGTAGACGTTGCATAAAAACATAATGCCAAAGCAGAATTTTGAACCACTTACAATTTTCTGACCACTGGAGTATTTGAAAAGCTCGAAATTTTGCGGGTTTATCTAAAGACCTCCCTATCGCATTAAGTATAAATATTACTTTAGGAAACTCATTTGCAGTCAAAGAATTGTGAAAAAAGCTTCAACTTTTTAATTTTTAACAGAGGTTCAGCATCTGCAAACACCAAGAGCGCACAGGGGAACACCAGCTCGATGCGAGCTACGTAATTCTGTATGTTCAATTGTTGGTGTGTTTGAAATATGAATATAGACACCAAAAAACTTATAAAAATATGTGTTCCAGAAAATCAGACCTTCACGTTGGTATAATACAACAACATAGCTCTTCTTGACAAAGAACTGTAGATTCTAATGGCCTTTCTAACAATCGGTAAAGCTGACGATGTGCGGAGAGATGTTAATTTAGAGTTGAAAGTGGCCACATCTGCTACCCCAAATATAACGGAATTAGTGCATACCAAGCGTTACGTGTTTTAGCCAACAATTGCTTGGCAAAGTGAGCTTGGTTACGTATTCACCTGAAAGCAATGGGCACAACAAACGAGAATCCGGCAATATAAATGCTAGAATAAAGCGATAAGAATCAATGGACTAAAAAAATTTTTTTTGGCCGTCGTTTCAAAAAGCTTGGTAGCGTTTGTCGGTGTCTGCTGGTTAAAGCGTTAAGCACAGCCGTCACTGCGCTGCTGTGAACATAATCTGTTTCACAAACTGATGGCGAGGCGAGTTCCAGTCGTCTGAGTCAGACATTGCCGTAGATTCGAAGGCACATTTAAATATTCAAATGAGTGTCGATCAATGTCGAGCACGTTCTTTTGAAGGCAAACGCTGAGAACTTACGCACATAACTAAAATGAGTGGCAAACACGGCTTTCGTCAAATCGAAAAATGAGAAAGTGCCAACGTTTGGCTATCGGTTCCATGGTTCCGACTAGAGAAATGTTTAATTTAATGATGTCAGATTTAGGTCGCGCACTTTCAAAAAGAGTGCTAAGATTAAAAGACTACATGGGAATCGGGAAGTTTTTGCGTGGCTGCCAAACCGCTCGTTCTTGCAGAGGTCGTCGTAACCTATTTATGCGATTACAGAAATTCGATTCGATATGTTATCATGAAGTGACCTGTTACAAGTGGTGCATAATAGCGTTTTCATTTACTTACTTGATACGACATATCTTTTGACGGCAGTTTAAAGCAAAAGGATAGAGCTCTCGGCTTTGATCAATCCCTGAGGTATGCGCCATGAACTCGACTTCATTAAGTATCGTTGGAGGTGATTGAATGCATATCTGGCCTTTACAATGACTCGCGGTAACCTGCCGATGTATCCAGCCAGTGCTGCTATCCTCCCGAACAAGTCTGGTAACAATTTGCCGACGCCGGAGGGATGGAAGGCTTGGTGGACTATGGGCGCTAGGATCGATTCCACGTGTGTATTGCAATCCCCCTTGCGGCGCCTCCAACTACTGTGCCACACGCGCCCAACATAGCAACTTTTACTTCAAAATATTCTCCGTTAATTTCCAGTGTCCTATGCACGTCTAGTAGAGTGTTTGGTTTCAATTTAAATTTACCGACCAGGTGCTCTTTTAAACGTACGCAGAGTGGTCTACTCGTTTCGCCGACGTATTCGTCGCCAGAAACTTCGCAAGAGATTAAGTACATCGTACCCGCACTCACGCAATCACCATCTCTACCTTTTGGGCATATCATGCAACTCTGCGTTATACATAGACGGTCATAAAGGCGATTGCTAAATAGCTGGTGTCTTAGAGTTCTCCATGGTATTTCAATTACTGTTACCGAATTCTCACCACCAGCCTTTCACAGGCAACATTTTATAGCTGCACTGCGTGATGAAGCTCTTTTTTTGATGATTTAATTTCAACGCTAAGAAATGGAATTCGGTACTCTTCCGGTTCCGCTTAGGTGAATGTTATATACTCCGACTGTTTGTCCATTAACACAAAGCATTTGCCTATCTCCTCTTGTGTGGAGCAGATGACAAAACAATTATTTATATAGAGTAGAGTAAAGTAGAGTAAAGACTGGAGATCGGTTACTAGTGCTTTCATCTTAGGCATAAATGCGATGGCAAGGCTTGGTGCCTGTCGGTGTTCCAGTGCCAGTGTAATGGTCATTGCAATGTGGATCATCCGAAGATCCAACAGTTTAGGCACACTTTTACGAGGGCCGTGAGCTGCTGGATCGATAAACCATGCATGTCTTTTGCTCCTTCTTGTTGCATAGAGAGCTCGTCCATGACTTTCACTGTGGAGTCATTCGACACGCCACCATAAACATTTTTGTATAGGGTGGTAAAGTCCAACGACTCCACAACATATGCGCCTTGTGCAGACGATCCATGAACTCGGTGTGTATAACATCCATCCATGAGAAGCCGAAAGAAAACTGGTTTCCATTTCTTAACGTTAGCCTATCCAAAAACAGCTACATCACAAGTGGTACCGAGAAGCAATTAGCAAAGATAAACAGGTTGTTTACCTCTCCTCTTATTTCTCGCAGACCAAAAGGGCTCTTATAAAAAACATGCTTCGAACATCCATCAGTGTGTGCACAGGAAGAAAGCAGTAGGAGGAATCCCGGAAATTGGCGAGGAAAATAGCAATTTTTAATGGTTACGAAACTGTAGCTCCTCGGGATTGGTGCAACAGAGGAAGCACACCAATAAATGATAAATTTAAGGAAAACAAGGTCCTTGTTCTCCTACTCTTTATTTCTAACGAAATAAATGCAACTATAAAATGTTGCTTTTGAAAGACCAGTGTAGAGTATTCGGTAGCAGTAATTGAAATACCATCAAGCACTCTAAGACACCAGCTACTTAGCAATCACCTTTATGACTGCCTATGTACTTGCATGATATGCCATAACGGTAGAGACCGTGATTGCGTGAGTTCGGGTATGGTATACCTAATCTGTTGTAAAGCGTGGGCGGGACGAATACGTAGGCGAAACGGGCATACCACTCTGCGTCCGTCGAAATTACAGCTAGTCGGTAACTTTGTATTGAAACCAAGCACTCCACTAGGTGCGGGCAAGACACAGGAATATAACACGGAAGATTTAGAAGTAGAAGATCTTGAAGTAAAAGTCACTGTCCCCGCATAGGAATCCAAAACATCGCTGGATGAAACTCTTGAAGGGGGGATTAATCCCAAAAAGAAAAAAAAATGAACCGCAAGGAGAAGTGCCCTGTGATTACGCGTGACTTAGCACCATTCCTCAAGCTTATTCTCTGACTTGACCTAGGCACATTCCTTCGCTGTGGAATATACTGTGCGGCTTGTCTCCACCACATGACCGGAAGACTAATAAAAAAGTTGGTTGTTTAAAAAAGCTGTTTATTATACGAATGGAAATTTACGTGTTAGATTTTGTCTACTGAAGTTATGAAAGTGTTTGGCTGCTGAGAAGAGTGCACGTCATTTGATCCTTTCCAGGCTCTAGAAATAGTGAAACCGTCGAAACGTCATCTATTCTGCATTAATAAATACTGTAATACCAACCAGGTGTTTGGTCATCAAGAAAGACAATGAGTTGTAGTTTCGCTTCACAAGAACCTATGAAAACACTCACAATGTTTCACAAAATGCTGCGGAGAACGTCGTGATATGAAAGGCATTGATGCGAACAGCATTCAAATTCACTCTAAGCGGCTTAAGCGTTTCGCCCATGTGGCAGACAGACCAAGAGCGACCAGTAAGTGGTTAAAATCCAAGCTCAGTCAAGGAGTTCATACCATTGCTCGGATTTATTTTAGCAAAAGGCTCATTATTGCTATTGTTCCATCTGTTGAGTGATTTTCTGTTAGCAGAAACGAAGCGCACTTTTTTGAGCAGGAAAAGATCTGTTTCCAATCCTTTTCATCTTTAAGTCATTAAAAAGCGAAATGATTTAGAATGGTTCGAAGAAACCTTAGTTAGGCTGGTGCCTATCTACTGATGTCATAACAAGCCAAATCAGTTTGCATAATTTTAAACTAAATTTAGTTTCGTATAACAAAAGGCGTAGAAAACGCTACTGTTAACTGCTATAGTGAATGATCTATTCTATGAAGGAGTACACAAAATAATCAGCTGTTGAGGCTGTCGCAGCAAGCGAGAAGCAACTGTTTGGCATTCGAAACTCAAAAAGCACTATTTTATGCGATAACAGTAGGAAGCAGAATATTCTCTAACAAATAGCTTAGAAAATTCATTGAAATATGCAGCGGTTCATTTTTCTTCCAGCTGTCATATTCAGCACCTTTTGACTGGAACGCACTTAACCAACTGGTCGATACTTCGCTTTTTAAATCCACCATCATCATACAACGTGCGACAACCTTCCGTTTTTTCTTCTTTTTCATTGCAACAGTCATCTATGGAGATTGAGATGTCATGCGAGTTTGGTCGCGATTCGATGATTTGTTATTTTCCCCCATTGACATGACAGAAACTAGCATAGCTTTTCTCAAATCCCGAAATAACCTTCCTAGAATCATTATAATGCTGAGGAATTTGCTTCCACTTTTGACGAATGATTTTTCTTTTGTTTTGAGAGGTTCCATCAGTAGTTATTTTTGAGTATAAGCTCCATCTCTTGTGAGTGCAGTTTAGAAACGTCTCCGATAGGTGTAGTTTTTCCATTCAATTTTTAAGCGCGATTATGTAATAACTTTGTTAACGGTGAATCGTTGTTGAT